GTGCTTCCTGTTGTATTCTTTGTCTCTACCTACAGCCCAAAGACAGGAAGGAATCCTGTCATCACTGCTGTTAGGTGACTTGAGCAGTCACATATTTAATTTTAAAATAGGACATTGAATTCTAATTCATTTTGCTGTGATGAGTATATACAGAAGGTAACCATTATGAACAATTTTATTTAAACTATTGGTAATCTGTATTTTAACCCAAAAATTTTAAGTATATTTTTAACTGACTTAATAGAACTGATGATGAGTTTAATGATCCACTTTTTAGTCACAGGATGATACTGGGATGGAACCCAAGACCTGTCCTGAGCTCTGTCCCCATCCTTCTTTCATTTTTATTTTTGCAGCAGGTTCTCAGAGTCACTAAGTTACTCAGGATCAGCTTGAATTCATGATCCTTCTGCTTCAACCTCCCAGAGTGCTGGGATTGTAGGTGTGCACATCACACCCGGCTCCCAATGTTTTGATTGCTTGAATTCTCTTATATTCATCAGGAAAATTATAAGACATCAAATGAAAGCTTTTAAATACATTTTTAGGGCCCGGCCAAATAACTCAATGGATTAAAGTGCCTGCAAGCAGGTGCTGGGGCCGGGGGTTTGATTCCCAAGCCTGCGGGTGCCGGCTCCGCCCCCATGGCGTACTGAGCCGACTGGGTGTGGTGGCTTATGCCTGTAATCCAAGCCCTTGGGAGGCTGTTAAACAGAATCACGATGAGTTTAGTCTACGAAGTGAGACCCTAAACACCCTGTATGCCCTTGCCTAAAAATACAGAAAAAAAATGTTTTTATGAGTGAAGAATTTTAGATATTTTATTGAAAATAACCTTTAAAAAGAATTCTTATGGTGAATTTGATAAAATGATTAAACTATGTGATCCACAGTATCTACTTAAAAGCAAACAAATACTTTGACTGTATTTTAAATAATCAGAGATTGTGCCATATTCTTGTATATGCAAGAAGTTGAGTAGGATCCCTAACCCAGGCAACTCATATTTTAAAGAAGGTAGTAAATTTTGTGGAAGGATAGCAGGCCTCTGTCAGGGGAAGGCAGGAAGGGAAACGCACTCTCTCAGAGGAGCAGCATATTCGTGGATACGGGCTTTCAGAACACTGAGTGATTCAGTCTGGGTCAGGGTCCTAGGCGAGGTTGGGTCAGAGCCAGGCAGCGAGGAGTGGCGCCTTCTGGTGGCGGGCCCTTCGTCTCAAGTAGTGCCGTGTTGCTGAAAGAGCTCCGTGGCCGGTACTGCATAAGGAGCGAGGCTTATTCGGTGCCTGGTTTTGGAGGCTCATAGTCCAAGGGGAGCACCAGCACCTGGTGGGCTTTGTGCTGCATCCCGACCTGGCAGGTGTCAGTGCGAGGTGGGAGCTGTGTGGGTGAGCAGTCCTTCCGGAGGAGGCCAAGCAGGAAGGGGGTGGTCTAGCGCTGTAGTATCTGTCAGGCCCAGTCCACCCTGCTCAGTTGATTCATTACCTCCCAGTGGCCCACCTCTCAGAAGATTTCACCACCTGCCAGCTTGCTGGGCTGGGGACCAAGCTTTTAGTGCCTGAGCCTCTGGGGCCGCACTCACCCCCTGACCACGGCTCAGCCATCACAAAGGTCCGGTGTGGCGTCTTACATTGCAAGAGCAGATTGACCTGGAGAGACCGCAGGTGACAGATGCGAGCAGTGGGGTGGAGTTGAATAAGCCAGGCAGTGGGATGGGCGGGCTGAGTGCGGTTTAGGGTGCAGAGAGGAGGTGTGGCGTGTGCGTGCGTCCTGCCCCGGCTCTCGGCCCTTCCACGCCCTCCAGCCCAGCGAAGACGGGGAACCAGGGACAGGAGTGCTTCTGTCGGGCTCTTCTTGCTATGTGTGCTTATCAGGCTTCTGAGTCTTAGTGAAGCTTAATGGAAACTCGTGTAACAAGTCCACTATTCATTACCAAAGGACAGGATATATTCCGAAGCAAAACATGCTTATGATTCAAGTCAGTGTCACTTGTCACTGTATGCTAGGGCTTTTAGTGTAATTATTTCCACAGATGGATTTTGCTGTATAGTCACACAAGCTATAATATTATAACATTAAGAATGATTTTGAAAGGTTATATCATATTAGTACACTGGAGTTTTCATATGTTAGGCTTTCCATTTTGTCTGTCAGAATTTAAGAAAGTAGAAACCTGAACAGCATAGCATGTAGAAGCATGGCCTGTGCACGTGAGCCAGTCCTGCAGGCAGCAGCGAGGCGCCGGTGTGGACTGCAGCCCTCTCTCCTTTGGTTGCCCGGGGAGGACATGGGGGCCAGAGCGTCAGGAAGGAAAGCCTGTGCCTGTTCTGTCGCCTGCCCCAGCCCCAGCCCTGGGAGCTGTCCAGCCAGATGTGTAGGCGCGCAGCTCTCGGGGGTAACCGCCAGGGCTTGTGCTGAGGACACGGGTGTCTCTGCGTGACAGCGTTCTCTCAGCAAAATTGGGAAAGAGAAGTGCGTGCGTGAGCCCCTCACCCAGCTGACCCCCTCTTTGATGAGATAGTGGAAAGTAAGCTTTTTCTCGTTGGTTGGCCCTTAAGGTTCCTGTGGTCCCACACCTCTTTGAAGCAGCACAAGATGGGTGCTGCAGTGGGCTTGTCATTGTATACACGCTGTTAGCTGAAGGTGAGATTTCAGTAGGTAGTATTTTTAGAACAAGCACCCAGTATCAGTGATTAAAAAAAAAATACACTTCATCAGGGCTAACTTTTACAAATAAGATGCTTAAATACCATAATTATACTTTATCCTTAATTTGGTAACTTCACTATTTCAAAGGGCAAAGCTATAGTAATTTAAAAAAATGTAATGTTTTGCTTGAATGAATGAAAATAAATTTGTTTTTCCACACAGATTTGAGTTCTGCGAACCTGCATTCGTGGTCGGTAATTGCCTCCAAATAGCATCTGACAGTCATCAGTATGATCGGATTTACTGTGGAGCTGGGGTCCAGAAAGACCATGAGAACTACATGAAAATATTACTGAAGGTTGGAGGCATACTGGTCATGCCTATAGAGGACCAGGTGACTTGCGCTGACCTTTCGCTTAGTATGTCATAGAAAACAAACATGGATTAGTTTAAGATTGGGAAGTGAAAGTGAAAGCCGTATTTTAATTTCATGGGGGAGGGCCGGGTCTTGCGGTACAGTCCAGCACTGGCCTTGAACTCCCTGTGCAGCCCAGGCTGACCTTGAACTCCCAGCAGTCCTCGCGCCTTGGCCTAGCATTGCGATCACAGGCGTGTGTCACTGTGGCCAGTGATTTTAATTTTTAAAGAAGAGATGCTTTTTTTTTTAACTTTTCTGTGTGCGTAGAAAACACTCAACAGATCCCAAATTCCTTAAGTGAACCTGCCCACAGGACAGTCCTACAGCTTGAGGGAGGAGACAGGGGCTGTCACCTGCCTGCTGTCAGCCTCTTCGTTGTTGGAGACGTGGAGGGAACTTTCCTCTTCGCTGCTGCTTTAACGGAAGGAAAGGTGCTTAGTGACGCGCAAGCAGCCGCTGCTCCTCAGGGCCTTCGCACAGTGGAAAGAGATCACGCACACTCGCTGTTAGGGAAACAGGGCGTTCTTAGCCTTCTTTCTTTAACACCACACTTGCTTGGAACGATCCTTTAGCCTTTTGTCATTATGAAATTTATCTTTTGTTGCTTTGGTTTGTAATTATTAGATATAATGTGTGAAACAATTTATTCGAAAGGGTGAACCTTTCAAAAAGCAACTTACCTTTAATATTTATAAAGTACATTTCAAAGAAATACGATCTTTAATACTCACATTTACCTAACTCTGCGTTGTGTAAAACACCTTGCATTGTACAGTAGAGCTAGAATATCCAAGCTGAGTGTGACTCAGCATGATAGTTGTGGCATTTTTGTATTATTTAAAATGCTACATGATACATAAAATATTATTTCCCTATCCATATTTTGTTGACTATTCATGGTATACAATTATGCAAATATCAAATGCAGTAATGGGCTGTCTTTTATAATATGAATTGAACATACTAATTCAAGTTGAGCAAGCTATTTTTTTCTAAGGACTGCTGATGAATAGTTGCTGACCGCTACACTGACCCTAGTCCCTTCGTGACTGCATTTGTTTGTGAGCCGTCAGGCTGGGGTTGGAATTAGAGCGTAACTCTGCACCGTCGTGGGAGAGCGTGGAGTCACTCTGTGGTACAGTAGTCGCAGCAGGGTGTTGACGTAATGCTTTCATCAAGGGACTGACTCTCCCTGAAACGTGGCTGGGCTGGAAGGCAGTCGTCGTCACATGTCCCCGGAGGCCGCCTGACCTCGAAGCTACTGTGCAGGCTCACCGGGCCATGGCTTTGCGCCGTGGACATTGAAGTGCCTGTCTTACACAGCAGATGCTTTCGATTCCGTCTACATTAATATGTAGTAAATACTTCAATGGAAGTACTTAGGTTGTACTTAGATATGCGTCATCACTTTGCTCTCGTTGATGACAGCCACGTTACCAGGACTAAGGCAGCCGTGTTACCAGGACTAAGCTGTTTTCTTTCTTTTCTCTGAACAGTTGACGCAGATTATGCGAACTGGACAAAACACATGGGAAAGCAAAAACATCCTTGCTGTTTCATTTGCTCCACTTGTGCAGCCCAGAAAGAATGACAGTGGCCAGCCAGATTCCGTGGGGCTCCGTAAGTAGATCCCAGAGCCTTCGTACTGCTTGTGCCCGGGGCCTGACACCGGTGCTCGAGGAGTTTGGTAGACTGTGTAATTAAGAGGAGTTAAAGAAATACGCAGTCAGACAGTCAGGGCATTTATGCGCCATTTTAAACATAAAGCCCTTGCCTGGAACAGGACACTGCTGGTTATAGTGGGAACACAGGAGGAGGGCAAGTCAGAACAGAAGGAGTTCTTTACTCAGCCAGTCAGAGGAAGGTTCTGCTGTTGAAGCAGCGCCTGTGCCGTGACTGAAGTGGTGCGAGGAGCGTGCCACGTTGAGGTTGCTCGCAGGAGCGGACGCCGGGGCTGGCTGCTGACACAAAGAGCATCGCCGCTCTCCACGTGCAGAACGGGTCTGGCGCGTGAGGAGTTCACTGGCAGGGAAGCTGGCCAGTTACAAGTCTGTCTTCTACCCAGGGAGAGACCTGATGTTCCTGTAGATAGACTGTTCGAAAGCAAGCAAGAGGAACGAATGATGACAGGAGGGAGGAACGTTTCTTGAGTAGCAAGCTGAGGGAGGGTCCTAATGCTGTTTGAAAGATGCTTTTGGCATAATTGGAAACAGGTACACAAAGAGCAGATACTTCTTTTTGGGCATGTTTGAGCTTCCTGTTAGCACACAAATGTCAAGTGGCCACGTGGCCATAACCTGCTGCTCAGCAGCAGTGTGAGCAGAGAATCCCCCACACGAAGGTGGCATTTGGAGCTGTCTCTGGAGACAGTGGGTGAGTCTGCATCGAGAGGGAGAGGAGGGAGACGATAAGAGGGTGGGGAGAGGATGCCTCAAGAACTCAGGCTTGCCAGGCAGCACTGCACCCTGAGCTAAACTCCCAGCCCCTAGGTGTTCGATTAGACCTGTGATCAGCCAGATTTAGAGATGAAACAGGAGAACACAGTGAAAGTTAGGGGAACAGGTGTCAGAAGGTGAAGACAGAGTTTTACAGGAGCTGACTAGACCTTGAGAAAAAGGAAAATTCATTTGACATATATCATTTTATTGAATACTACTGAGTGTCTTGATTGACTTGTTTTTATTTTGTAGGAGTCTAACTTTATAGAGGTAATTTTAAGTATTCATTTTTCTCTTTTGAGCTGTGTGACATTGAGACCTTTTGAGATGGTTTTGAAAAATTATATAAAGTAGTATTTGTAAAATTTTGGCATAGCATCTGGGAGATAGTAAAAACAGGTGCCGGATTTTGTAGTAGACTATATGATACTAGAAGTACTGAGTACCTACTTAAACTCTGTGTTAAAAACAATATTGATAGCAAAGTAAAACTTTACCCTTCTATGTTTCAAACATTAAAATTATACTTCAAGATACTTTTGTCATTATCATTGAAAGGAAAATAATAAAGAGAAGAAGTGAAAAAAATTCTCTGACCCCGTTGGACAGTGACCTAGAAAGTCTACCTTTGCTTTGTATGTAAGTGTGCGTCTGGACTCCCCTGTGAGCTTTTCTGCAGTGACTGTACTGTGTTGTAACAGATGCCATTAAAAGCTTCAAAGTTCTATCAGTAGTCATTTTTTATCTGACAGTTTTTCTAGCTTAGTTTCTGTTAAGAGTCCTAACTGTAAATGCAGTTTCACAGTAACGTAGCTTATGCTTGTGGATGATACGCTCTAAAGGAGCTGCTTCCACCCTCATTTGAAGGATGTCAGTGCAAGTACATCTAAGCAGGAATAAGACACATTGACTGCGTTGTCTGTTTACCAAATGTGAGTGTAAAATAGACATAAATTCAGCATGAAAGGATAAATGGGGTGGGGAAGGCCAAATTGAAAAAAAGTTCTGGGCTGGTGAGATAGCTCAGCAAACTAAAGAGCCTGCTTAGGCAAGCGCAGGGACTGGGGCGCAGTCCCCGGCACCACGTGCTGCACCAGCCTCGCTCCAGGGAGAACTGAGCCAGCCGTGGAGTCCAGGTGTGCTGGCGCACGCCTGTAATCCCAGAGCTGGGGAGGCTGCACACAGGAGGGTCACTGTGAGTCTGAGCTGTGTAGTGAGACTCTGTAACAACCAACTACATTTTTAAAAAAAAAAACAAAAGACATAAAAAATTCTTCTTATCCATGAAATAGTTTAAACTTTCAACAGAATAAATCTGGAATGAATTGTAAAGAAGACAGTTGTCAATGAAGTAGGATTAACCAAGAATGGTAACTGTTTTAGCGAAGTGCAGGTTCATCTTAATTTTGGCTCTGTACTTGAAATTTCTGTAACAAAAAGAAGAAAGTCATCAGTTGTCAACAGCAATTTTGAAAAAATGGGTTAGGAGTTCAGTTTCTAAAAAATGACCTCTTCGTGTAGAAACATTCACAGAATAAAAAGTTCTGAAAATTGATATTTGCCAAATTTTATAGGATGTATAGAGAATAGCAACAGTTTTTCTCTTCTGTTAGAATAAGTCACAGAACTTTCTATTTAGAAGGCATTTTCCTGTTAATTATAGGGAGTTAAAATAGAAAAAAATACTGGAAGGTTAGTACCCAAAAAAACCCAAGAAAATACGTGGGAATTCTGTGCCAAATGTATCTTAAAGCAATGAAGTTGTTCATATTAGTTTATTAAATAGTTATTAAAATGGACTTACTATTTTTCCTGATTTATCACTAATTTTTATTCAACTTAAAAATCATATTTTTATTTAAAAAATTTTAAATTTTTATTTGTTCCTATTAATTTCACAAAACACTGGGTTTCGGGCGTGGAAATTTATATGCGCTCACGGCGTCTTTTGCTTGTGTTGATCCTGTGCCTGTTCTTATGTTCTTTCCCTTGCTGCCTCCCTTTACTCCCTTCCTCTTGCCAGGTAACAGTCTCTTTCTGTGGTGTCGTCTGTGTATATAACATTTTAGAAATGTGGATAGAATTGTTTAAAGTTCAGGGGTAGAAGAGACTTTATAAATTGTGGCACACAGGGCTATAATGAAGTTGGTTCTCGTAGAACAAACTAGAAGCATCAGCTTTGTATGGTTGAACTTAAATGAAATGTTGTTGGTAGTCTTCATTAATACATAAAGTGAAGTCTCTGGTGTATTCCCATCAGCCTGAACCACCAGGGGCGCGCGTGTGCCCGTCCCCATCCTGCCCGACAGTGTGGATGTAGAGCTATTCACTTGTACCAGACCTTTTTTACTAATGAAGAGCCACCTGATAGCACAGTCGTGCCGGTAGCACTGGTAGTTCAGGCCCCCCAGCAAGAAGACATACCAACTGTGGCCGCCTTGTGAACACGTGAGTGAGGTTGTGGCACACCCCCTCCCATGCTTGTGGCGTCGCAAGCTTCCACACCTTCACGGTGGGCCACCATGGTGTGTCTTCTCGCTGGGCTGCTCTCATTTGAATTCGGTCCTCCTTGCCAGCTCGACCCATCGGTGACGCATGCAGGACTGTCCCATTGGCCAGCTTATGCTGCTGCTCGGGCCTCTGTGATTACAGTAATGCAAAGAAAGTCGTTGATGTAGCGCACTACCTGTCACCATCTTACAGTTCTTAATTAAAACAGTATAGTGCCCTCTTCGGCAGCACATATACTAAAAAGGTATAAGAAGATAAACAGCAATTGTCAGGGATATTAAATATGGCACTTGTAAGATTTCCTTGTGAAAATTTAGAGAATTTTTGAAATATTCATGAATTTCTTTTAATGAAGTAAACATATTGATTATTATAATAATTTTTAATTGGTATGAATGAAATTAAATCATTTCTACGTGGGCAGTAATTATTCACATTCAAGCAACTAACTAGATTCAGTCCACTTTTAGATGTGTATTGTTGGGTTTTTCAGCAGTGCAGTAAAGAGAAAGGAAGAAAAAGAGGCTGTTATTGACCTGAGGACATGGAGCAAATCCAAGGCGGCGGGGGGTCCCCTGCCCTGAGCCAGCGGGAGGCTCAGACTCTGTGCACTTGTGCCGGGGGCGGAGTTTAAAGCGCAGGTGGAGTGACACCTCGGGACCTGACTGGGGTCTCCTTTGTGCTGTAGGAAAGGTGGAAGGAAACAGTACCCAGGACTGAATCGGGGAAGAAGGGGCAGGTCGTCTCTGGGAAGATCAGCTGTTGTTTAGGGCTTCAGCCATGTTAGATGACCTCCATAGTAATACAGCACTTTATACTAGGACCAGAACCTGTCATTTATTAACCTTGTTAGTAAAAAGTCTGATAGGAATTATTAGATGGGACAGTCATACATGCACCACCAGTGGCTCCAGCTGGTGGGAGTGTGTTAAGTTTAAAATAAGTTTTATGTAGCTGTAAGAACTATTATTGTCTAGTTTACTCAATCTTTATCTCAAAACTAGAAACAGGAGTCCAACGGATAGAAAATAGAATGTATGAAAGGTAGATCTGACCGTTACCTAGATGTTTTCATGTTATTCAGAAGAATGTTTGAATGAAGCTAATGTGGATACTGTTTTCAGAGTGCTTGAGTCAGTTCAGTCAAGACTGCATCTTCTTCCGTTCTGGGTCTTGTTGGTGTTAGTGAAGTTCAGACATTGGTCTGCTGCTTTAGGATTGAAGAGTTCATCCCTAGAGTAGCAGACATTGCTGACAGTGAGGAAGGTAGCTGAAGTCTCGACAGGGAGTGCCAGGAATGGGAGCTCGCTGAGCTGGATAGGAAGGCGAGTTCGGGCTTTATTTCCTAGATCCTCTACAATTCCCAAATTGTTAGGAGGCCTTTTTCCTCCTCTGCTGCTCCCTTCTAAGCTCAGGCTTAGGCTTCTCCTCTGCACCTCCTCATCCCAAACCTCAGCGCACACTGGAGTGCCGGAGCCCTGACTGACGCCTCCTGGTTGCAGAGGTGTCCGTCACTCTGTGTTCACTTTGCGTTCAGGGTCACTGTGGTCACGTACAACCCCGAGCAGATTATGTAAGTCCTTAGCATTCAGCACCCAAGCCTCATGTTGTAAAACTGAGAATGGCCGCTGATGCGGAACTGTAGTTGTTATCTGAGGACTCTTAAATGTCATCCTCAGTGCCTTCATTCAGTCTTGAACGGGCTAAGCTCCTTTGCTATTAGGGCTTTGCTGCACCCCAAGCCCCTTTTAATTAGATGTCAGCCAAAATGTGGCAAGTTTTGGTCATAAGTTTGTGACCAACCTGTCAAGAACCATATCACTTGTACTTTATTGTCTTCATCCCCCCTTTAAAATTGTTCTAATTTTTTTCCTACCCCCTCCCAAACATACGGTCTACATGAGTACAGGAACTTTGGCAGCCTACAGCACTTGCTGTGAGTGCCAAAGTGCCTGACCCGTAGTTTCTAGGTACCTACTGAGTGACTAGCACAGTGGGGGCTGGGGGTCAACTTTTGTCCTGCCTGAGCTTGGACACCATCCCAGGGCCAGGCCTCCTTCCACTGTAACTAAGCAGATTGAGCTCTGAAACGCTCCTCACTTGGGACAACCCAGCACTCTATTAATTAATTGTCCCTCTCAGTTTCCTAAAGCCCCAGTGAGAGACCTGGGTGACAGCGCACTGCCATGGAGGCCCGGAAGCCTGGTGTCGCTGTGTTCCTTGTCACTTTTCTGTTCCTGCCGCATTTTGCTGGCACTGATTGGCCCTGAGTAATTGTCTTGTTATTTTCAATAAATGCTGCTCCTTTCCTTTCACCACTGCTCCTTTCCTTTCACTACAAGCGATGGGTGCTTGTAGTCCCTCGCTCCCTGTGCGTGGCGGTCTGTCGGCACTTTCCCATGGCATAATTGGCAAGCCAGCCAGGAGTCGAACATGGAATCTTGTGATAGTGAACTATTTTGAAAGAGACCCCGAGCAGGCAGGGTTTTGTATGTTTTAGCACCTGAAGATGATGTCTCACATCTGTGGTTACTTGGCTGTGTTTACATCACTAGCAGAAGTGGGACTTGAACTCAGATTCTTTCATGGTGGTTGAGTTTGTACTCCACGTACAATAGTTAGGGGCAAATCTAGACCAGTAGGTAAAACAATTTCGAGCTCAGTGAGCACATGTGATTCTTTGAAGTTACTATTTCAGGTTTCAGAACAGGATTGGAAGAAGCTTAAAGAACAGGTTGTATAGTGGACCAGGAGATAGGCCCTAAGAATTTTAAATTAGGCTTACAAGTCTGTGTTAAAGTTAGGTGAAAACCCTGTGTACTGTTGCAGATGTGTCTGGGAGGTGCTGGGCCTTGCCTGGCCCTTGGCACTGGTGTGTAAGGCAGGCCATGTCGTGTGCCACCGAGCTGTGCCGGGCCAGGCCTGGGCCTGCTGGGCCTGTCTGTGGAGACACACTTGGCACCGGGCAGCTATAAGCAGTGTGTCATGTTGTCTCATCCCTTTTCTTTCTTTTTGTCTGTTTTTAGCCCCCTGCGCTGTCAGGAACCTGCAGGACTTGGCTCGCATTTACATCCGGCGCACGCTGAGGAATTTCATCAACGACGAGATGCAGGCCAAGGGGATTCCTCCAAGGGCTCCGCCCAAGAGGAAAAGAAAGAGGGTGAAGCAGAGGATCAACACGTACGTGTTCGTGGGCAACCAGCTCATCCCCCAGCCTCTAGACAGTGAGGAGGACGAGAAAATGGAAGAAGACAACAAAGAGGAGGAAGAGAAAGACCATAGTGAAGCCATGAAGCCAGAGGAGCCACCTCAGAATTTACTGAGAGAAAAAATCATGAAGCTGCCCCTCCCTGAATCTTTAAAAGCTTACTTGACATATTTTAGAGACAAATAAATCAAGAAGAAAAAAAATGCCTACTGATACTCCTTTAGTCTTGAAAATGTAGCATTTATTAGGAGTTAAAAGAGAGAAATATTTCTTTGATCAGAGTGAATTATAGTGGGAAAAAGTATAACTTGTTTGTCAGTAACAAAAACAAGGTATTCATTGATTAAAAAGAATCTATCTCTTTTATAAAATCTATTTTTCTTTAAATCTTGGAAAAATGCTGTTTTAACTCAGTGATTTCAAAGTGGAATGCAACAATAGTCAAGACTTTGTGTACTATAAATCCTTTTCTGATTCCTTACAGATTTGTAGTGGTGAGGGTTAGATTTAATTTTCTATAAGGTTTAAATAATTGTTAAGCATATGTAATCGGATTTGAATTGCAGTTGTTGGTGTTTCTCTATGAAAACTTTCATAAGGAAATCAGACGCTTTGTAGACCTGTTCACCCTTCTGCTGCAGTCGCCTGGCTGCGTTGCTGTAGATAAATTCCGGGCAATATATGAGTGCAATAATAATACAAGATACTGAGTAATTTAGCTTTAAAAACATCAGTGTAGTGAACTGTTACAGCCCTGCAACTTGTGCTTTCGAGTCCGCTGCCAAATGACATGGGAAATACTTGCTTCTCTTATAGAGATTTAAAGAGCACAGCGAGGGCCGAAGGCAGTCTCTACCGAATGCAGCTCTTAATTTGTGTGGGCCTTTTACATTTTCAGTATTTAAAAATAATGAGACTGTCTTAATTCTGTAGGACTTTTTCCTGTAGTTCACTGTATAAAATATATAGTTTTTGGAAAAAAAAAAAAAATCACTGTCCCTCCTGACCGGCAGTGTAGCGCGTGTGAAGGAGCGGACGCGCGTGGCCACCAGCCCCGGGGCACCTGGGCTCCGCGGATGCACTTTAGCTCATGGGACGTGCAGCTTAGCCCAGTAGTTAGCTTCGACGCAGTAGGGCTAAGATTGCCTACATTTGCTTTAGATCTTTCTGTTATGAGAAATAGTCACAGAGTTGTATCTAGATGCCTTTGTATTAAAAATCAGGTTCAGAATGATAGTGTAATCTTTGGGACCTGCCATCCCACGTTCACTTCACTTCTTCCTGTAGTTTCGTCTCTTCGCTGAAATCATCATGGTTCTCCTTTTTGCCTACATATTCAAGTCACCTAGCTTATCAGTGGTAGGACAGGCAGTAAGTGTCAGGATGAGCGTTTTGTTTGTCCCAGTAAGAAGGAAAATAAGTCATTCCTTGTTGAAAAGCATACAGTGTAATGTGTTTCTACTTAGTGTTGACACGGATCATACATTTTCAAAGGGACAAATTTGGAGCTGTCATCACCCACGAGCGTCGCCCCGCGGTGCTCATTCGGACTTACTCGAGGAAGCTGAGCCACGTGAGTGAGAGAAGCACCGCCTCTGGGCTTCAGGGCCGCCTCCAGCCGCGTCCGCGACTGCACGGAGCAGTCTAGACGTGAAGCCTCAGACGCCGAGGGCCTCGCAGTGACGGGACAGAAGACGTCACGCAGGTGCTTGTCCTGTGCCCGTGGCTGAGGTGGTGGCCGTACGGATGACAGTGTCCCTGATTTGTTTTCTTAGGTGAATATTCAACTGTTATTAAGAAATGCCATATTTTATCTACAAAAGAAAAAAGTCAGTTTCACACTCTTGTCAGCTGTTAGAAATGCTCATTTGATTTTAAATCAGCTGTAGTTTAATTTTGAATCCTGATGCCATGTATTGTCTAGAAAGCCTGGGGCGTTTCATCCTGTTCCCCCCATCTCCATTTTTTTGGTTGGCGCTAGTGTTCAGGTACATAGAAATAGTCTTCAATGATGCTTTTACTACTTAGAGAGTTGTTGTTAAGCATGTATTTGAAGATTGACATGTTCACACTCTGTCATTCTGTTGACCTTGGGAAAGTGTACAGTAGATTTTCATGACCATTGCATATTTTTTGTCATTGAAAGGTATCGTCTGTGTTTCTAAATGCACTTATTTTACAGGTGTGACTTTATCAGTGACTTTAAATAAAGAGGTAGAAATAAAAAGTCGAGTGAAGGTTTTTTCTATTAGTGCAGATATATTGGACTAAGAATACTTTGGGTTTTATTTTTTAAAGAATTTAGGTTTATTTGTATGGAAAATTATGCCGTATGGAAAAGAAAGATGAAGTAAAAGTAGGTGAAACTGGTGGACATCGTTGTGGAATTTTATAGAGACATAACAGATGCCATCTAACTTAGGCCTTTATTTTACAGACCAGAAAGTAGGCCTCGGCGGCGTCTGGTTTTGCCTCAGTCTCGCGGCAGCTTGTCGCAGGTAGTGCCTAAAATAGCATCCAGCGTCCAATCAATCCCAGAATCTGTCAGCAGCACCATAGCTACCGAGAAAATAATGTGCGCCTATACTGCTATTGGTTGACACATTCGGTTCTGATATTAATAAAGAAAAATGTTACTAAAACAGCATACATAGTGGTTAAAATAAAATACCAAAAATGTGTTGACGTCTGTCTGAGCTGAAAGCGAAGGAAAGCCTGTTAAAGCATTGGAAGAGTTGGAAAGTTGTTTAAAATAAACAATCACATACTTATGCATCATGCTCCGGTGACGTGGCTTTTCTTTTTCTCTTATTTTTAAGTTTAGATGTTCTCAGGTTGTGATCAGCTGTCTGCATGAGCGCCTGCTTCCTTCTGACTGTTACCACCTGTGAGGAGCGTGGGTGGTATTTTACTGTTGCTGTTATTACTTCGCAGTACTGAAGACGGGGCTTTTACACCAAGGTATCCTCAGGCCTTTTATATTTTGAGAGTGTCTCCCAAGTTCCTAGGTTGCCCAGGCTACGTTTGAACTTGAGAGCCTCCTGCCTTCTTAGCCTGCCAGAGGACTGGGATTACGGGCGTGTCGCACCATGCCAGATAAACATTTTATTCTAATGAAGTACTCGCTAGAAGTGAAGAGTGTTTATAAAAAACGTATTTGAAATATGAGGAATGATGGTTTAATGCACACGTAGTTGCGTGTGTACTGACTGACGGGTTCGCCTGCTGCTGTTGCTAATGCTTGCCTGTCCTTTCCTGATCTCATTTAGTTTCTTCAGCTTGATCCTCTGATCACTAATTTTCTTTAAAATTGCATGAATTATGCTGTTGAACCCTGAGGTTTACCGTCTGCTCTACTTTTATTTCTACTTTTCTCAGATTGCCTCTTTTTATTTTGAGATAGGATGGAGGTGTGAGCTCTTGATGTCTCTTTGGGCAGCATTTATAGCTCTCTTTGGACTTCGTGTGTTCTGCTGGCTTTTGTAGCTTCCTTTGTGTTGCGTGAGCATCGCCCTAGCTGCCTGAGCTGATCCCCGGCGCGGCTCTCTAAGTCCTGTCTGTAAGGTCCTCTAGACTACGGAGGTGAAGGGATCCGAAAATCCATCGAAGGCTACTGTGGCGGTGCCACACCTCCAGAGAGAGCCACTCCCCGCCTTGCCAGGGAGGTTTCAAAGTGGGCCAAGTGTTTTACATTCTCTGTGGTGAACTGTGTGGTCAACACTTGTGGGACTGGGGATTATTTCATTTTTCCTTAAGAGACAGTGAGGCTTTCTTTGTACAGCACTTTTCCGGGTTAGGCTCCCTACTCGAGAATGGGCTGTTCTTTGCTCTGTGCCTTGCTTCTGTGAACCTCTGAGCTTGGTCCAGCAGTCGAGCTGCGCCGGCCTCGGGTATCTGTGGAGCCCCAACGACTTCTCATCTCACTGTTCTTTGGACTCTTGTGCCCACCTTCTTAGTACTTCCTGCTACTGCACATGAGCATCTTCC